CTGCCAGCTCATTTTTTAACACAAGCGGCTCGACTCAATCGTTCACTACGCCACTAAAGACACAACCCGTCACTGACTGACTCTTCTCACGACTACCTATATGCGCTCAACGCCGGCCACACTTCTCTCTCGCCCCTCCTCTCCTCTCTTCGTGGTTAGCAGCGACCCCTCTCGACCCCACCAAACTCTCCTCGCCCGATGATCGTGTTCTCCCCACTCTTGATAACCGGCCGGTAATTGACTACCGAAACCGAACAGTTCTGCCAACCCATAGATTCACCAATCGATATATTCAAATCCTCGATATTCGCGAAATTATATTCTTTCATCGCTTTAATTTTCCTCGTGCATTAGCTCATCGTTATTTAATTTTAAAACTTTTCATTTAATTTCATTTTATTATTAATCTTTGTCGCGGAGAATGCCCAATAGAAAATAACATGAAATACCCTAAATTTCAGTAATGTGACGTAAATTATTGTAATATATAATCCAACAATATCATTTGAGGATTAAATTATACATTTTTGTTTCATCATTTCTGGTACTTTCATCATTTAAAAGAAAAATTTTCGTTTTTTACTCGAATGCACCATACTATATTCATACATATTATTGTATCCTATCGACTTTTCAAACTCTGATCTTACATACTTTTAAATAATTTTTTTTTTATCGACAAAATAGCAATGGAAGTGCTTTTTAATAGCAAGTTCGTTAATTGGTATTCGCTTTAATAGTTTTCACACTTATACATAACAAAGATATCGTGGCGACCTCTCTGTTTAAAGTATATACATACATATAACTAACTTACGTGCTGAGTATTTATGTAAATGTTATACATACATGAGTTTATGATCTCTTGAATTTGTAAGAGAGTTTCGGCACGTGTTCTGAGGTTTTGATTTTTAATTAATTATGAACAATATGAATTACAAATTTGATATATTTTAATATCATCATATATATCTGTCTTTCCAAAATGCAAGTATCTTGCCCGAATGATGTGAAGATATATAATCTAAGCGCTGGGAAGTCTCTTCCAGAGGTAAATGTTTATTTGTTATATCAAATATCGTTCTATACATTTTAATAATACTAATTTAATTTACGTTAGTGGTTATCGGAACGTAAAAGACGTAGCTTATTGAAGAAAAATGTTGGTAAGTGAACTTTACATAAACCTATTACCTGTTATATAGTGATAAAATATAAATATTATATGTAAATCACAATATCATTTTGATAGATATTCGGCGTCGAATCGAACTTATACAAGATTTTGATATGCCTGGTGTTAGTACTTCAATCAAAATATCAAATGATGGGCAATATATATTTGCGACAGGTATATATAAGCCACGTGTAAAATGCTTTGATGTAAAGAATTTATCTTTAAAATTTGAAAGATGTTTTGACTCTGAAGTTGCTGCTTTTGACATATTATCAGATGATTATAGCAAAGTATGTAAATGTATTTATATTAATCATGTATTATCCATGTATTAATTATCCGGTAATTGAATTTATCATTCTTTACCTTTCAGCTGGTATTTCTACGCTATGACAGAGGCATAGAGTTCCATGTTGCTTATGGAAAATATTATGTAATTAGAGTACCTCGTTTTGGAAGGGATATAAAATATCATTATCCATCTTGTGATCTTTTTGTCGTGGGAGATAGGTCTGGTGCACATTCTTCTCAACACTGTAATCTTTATTTAAGATCTTAAATAGTCAAAATTTACTTTCATTAGCTTGCATTATGTTACAGTAGCGAGATTTACAGAATAAATCTTGAAAGAGGACAATTCTTGCAGTCTTTCTTGACAGAGGCACCATCCATAAATAAATGTGAAATAAATCCTGTTCATCATCTTCTTACTGTTGGAACAGAAGAGGGAAAAGTAGAAGTGTGGGACCCTCGAGTTAGAAATAAAGTTGGTAGTTTGGACTGTGCTTTACATTGTGTTGGAGAAGATAATAAGTATGATAGTATACTGTAATGCAATCTACTGGCAAGTTCTTGATATTTTCACTTATGGCATTTACTTTATTATTATGTAGATTAGAAAAAGTTCCTGCGGTTACTAGTTTAAGATATCAAGGAGGTTTAACACTTGGAGTAGGTACATTGACTGGCCAAATATTATTATATGATATTCGTTCCAGTAAGCCATTTTTGGTCAAAGATCACATGTATGGGTTGCCTATTAAAAATATTGAATTCCATCAAACAATGGATATGGTTTATTCTATGGATAGTTCTATTGTGAAAATATGGGAAAAGAATAATGTGAGTAAAATTTATGAGTCGGTGGATGAGAAAGATGAATAATAATTGCAAACATCTTTGAATACTTTGGAAAAACGTTTTACAGGGTAAATTGTACACATCCATAGAAGCGCAGCACGATTTTAATGATATGTGTGTTATACCAAACACTGGAATGGTTTTAATTGCCAATGAAAATACGAAAATGCAAACGTTTTACATTCCTTCCCTTGGCCCAGCTCCCCATTGGTGTAGTTTTCTGGATAATCTGACTGAAGAACTAGAAGAATTAAATTACGATATCATTTATGATGATTATAAATTTGTAACTGAAAAAGAGTTAGAAGAATTAGGCCTTTCGCACTTGAAAGGCACTAATCTTCTTAGAGCTTATATGCATGGCTACTTTATGGATATTCGATTGTATAAGAAAGCAAGAGATGTAATGAAACCATTTGAATTTGAACAATATAAGAAAAAGAAAATTCAGCAAAAAGTGGAAGAAACTCGCGGTAGTAGAGTACAGGTATTAAATATTTTATTATTCTATAACGTTATCTACGGAATATCATACATTTTTCATCTATATTTATATATATTTGTAGATTCAAAAAATGCCGAGTGTAAATAAAGAACTTGCATTAAAGTTAATGGATGACGAAACAAATGCGAAGAAAAAGAAAAATATTTCTTCCAATCTTCTAACAGATGAACGTTTCAAACAACTGTTTACTAATCCAGATTTTCAAGTGGATAAAAATTCGGCAGAGTATACGTTGTTAAATCCCGTTATCTCACAACTTAGTAAGAGTAAAGCAAAGAAGTTAAAAGCCAAGGTTGAAAAAGAAATGGAAGAAGAGACGGAAATTGATCCAATGGGAGACGAACATCATGGTTGTGCAAATATTTGTATATATATATATATATATATATAATATATTATAATATATTATGTGTATATATATATATATATATATAATATATTATAATATATTCAATATATATAATATATTCAACAATTTCCTGCTGGTCTTAGTAGATGTTTATATTCCTTTTCATGTCTCTTCACCAGTAATTTTCTTCGCTTTGTCTGTTTCTGTAAATAAATATATATATATATATATGGATATAAGAATATACATGTTATATACATTGTATATGTCAGGTATAACGTTTATAACATATATGTACCTTCTCAATAGAGAAAGTCATTTCCCTGTTACCACGTGAACTAGAAATTTTAAGACCCTCATTTTCATTTCTTCTCAATCTCTCTCCTAAAGTAGCTCTAAAACAATTAATCAAAATGATGGTAACAATAAAAAAGATACCAAAATAAATTCGTAGAAGTAGATTTACGTGTTGATATTTCTCAAGTCTCTATATATATAACAATACGCACTTGCTTTGTTTCTTTGCCACTGGTTTTGCATCTTTAAATTCGACATCCTCTTTGATTTCATAGAATTGAGGTTCATTCTGAATACGTTCGTTATTATCTGTCACACTTTCATCATTCTCTTGCATTTGTCTTTCGTTCTTTTTTATCAACCGGTATTGATTTTTCATTTCTTTAACCCATTGTTTCTCATCTTCTGAACTACTATCATCATGAATAAAGCTTTCATCTGAACTATTATCTGAAAGTATAAGTCTCATTATCAAGTTAATTCAACATATATATATATATATATATATATATATATATATATATATATATATATATATATATATATATATATATATATATATATATATATATATATATATATATATATATATATATATATATATATATATATATATATATATATATATATATATATATATATATATATATATATATATATATATATATATATATATATATATATATATATATATATATATATATATATATATATATATATATATATATATATATATATATATATATATATATATATATATATATATATATATATATATATATATATATATATATATATATATATATATATATATATATATATATATATATATATATATATATATATATATATATATATATATATATATATATATATATATATATATATATATATATATATATATATATATATATATATATATATATATATATATGTTGAATTAACTTGATAATGAGACTTATACTTTCAGATAATAGTTCAGATGAAAGCTTTATTCATGATGATAGTAGTTCAGAAGATGAGAAACAATGGGTTAAAGAAATGAAAAATCAATACCGGTTGATAAAAAAGAACGAAAGACAAATGCAAGAGAATGATGAAAGTGTGACAGATAATAACGAACGTATTCAGAATGAACCTCAATTCTATGAAATCAAAGAGGATGTCGAATTTAAAGATGCAAAACCAGTGGCAAAGAAACAAAGCAAGTGCGTATTGTTATATATATAGAGACTTGAGAAATATCAACACGTAAATCTACTTCTACGAATTTATTTTGGTATCTTTTTTATTGTTACCATCATTTTGATTAATTGTTTTAGAGCTACTTTAGGAGAGAGATTGAGAAGAAATGAAAATGAGGGTCTTAAAATTTCTAGTTCACGTGGTAACAGGGAAATGACTTTCTCTATTGAGAAGGTACATATATGTTATAAACGTTATACCTGACATATACAATGTATATAACATGTATATTCTTATATCCATATATATATATATATATTTATTTACAGAAACAGACAAAGCGAAGAAAATTACTGGTGAAGAGACATGAAAAGGAATATAAACATCTACTAAGACCAGCAGGAAATTTATCTAAAAGAAAATATTAATATCTATCATTGTATTTAATTTGTTAAATGTTAGGTAATTCTTTTCCAGAATAAAAAATATTTTTACATAATCTATTATTTTGTTCTAAAACATTTATCTTTTCGGATTCCTTTGCTCTATCAGTCCATACTAGAAGTTGTCCATACAACGAATAAAATAATTTATTTCGACGCGATGTATATATGGATATCTTGACAGAGGTGAAGTGTCATCTCAAAATAGTGATATAATAAATTTTATACGCTAGGGTGAATCACGCGGAGTATCGATACAAATGTTTTCTTTTCAAGTTCAAAAGCACTGTGCCCGTTTGTCGAGAAAAATGACATTAGTAAGTTTTACATTATATTTTCCATAATTTTTTAGTTTTACTAGTTATATACTATTTATTATGAAATATATTTATCATATAATATATAATATCACGATTTTATCGTTTACTATTGCCGAATTTGAATTTTTGAAATTAACACTTAACATATTTGTTTGGATAGAAACATAAGGTAATTATTTTTCTATATAGAGCTAATTACTGTTTATTTTGATTTTGAAGATCTAGTATGTTTACATTCAAATCACTATCTATAGATCTACAATTTAATCTAGATCTATAATATAATATTTCACATTTACTTCTTACTTTCCATTTTTGATGGATTACAAAATTCATTTTATCTATAACGTAATTATCGTTAAAAAGAACAAATTACAGATTCTTTCCATCTTATATTATAGAATTAATAAGTGTCATTGTTAATAATAAATTGATAATAAAAGTGTGTATTTTAATTACATTCTAATTATCATTGTTAATAGGTAAACTCGAATAACGAATCAAAGAATGGGAAAGATCCTCCACAGCAAAATCATTCAGGAACGATTCAGGAATCTACACCATCTGGATTGTCAAACTTGCACATGCAAAGTACAGAAGTAAGACTATTTAGCATTTTCCCTTTTAGTACATGTAAGTTATATGTTCTTTTTATTTTACGATAGATTGGTGAAATCACAGAAATGCCAGACTTTGAAATGCTGAATACATCAGCGATACTTCATTATTGCAAACATAAAATATTAAGACCATATTTGAGATTATTAGGAGTAATGGGCTTAAAGCCAATAAGCAATGATGATTCACAACGATGCACTTGTTATTGTATTTTTGCAAATCTTCATACTTGTCAAGTTGCAATATTTATGTGCATTGGATATATACTACAATACATGGCATGTTTTAGGTAATAACACCTAATATAATACTTTTAATATAACTATTATTAAATGTAATTGGTTTTCTAGAAGAGACAGGGGTTTTTGTTATAAAACAATGCCTTTGAAATTTCACTTTGCATCCAATTTGAATAAGGAAGATTCAGAAGAAATTACTTGCTTTGGAAATGTTATATTTAGTTATCTGGTTCCCAGTATTTTACATTTAGTTGCATACATATATACAGTATATCTGTTCCGAATTAAAGAAAACGAACAGTTACAAAATTTAATGGAACGAGCATTTCTTCTATCTTCTAATTCTGTAAATCGTGGAAATCAAAGGAGACTTGTACGGATATTGTGGTTTTTCATAGCATTGAGTCTTGTATGGATAATTATGGCATTAATTACAGTAAATGTGTTAATGGCTCGAGGAAGCATTATATTTCAATGGCTAGAACACAGGTAAGTTGCCTAATGTAATATTAGTATCATTTAAATGATGATTAAAGTTATACATTTTTTTCCATTGAAGCATATTTAATTCAATATATCTTTGAGTATTCTATTCATACTGTTAGCATTGTTTTATTCTGTACTTCTTCCAAGTTTATTGTTTGCACAGTCCATATCAACTAAAAATAACAATGAAAGTACTTTTAATCGTATGCACATTATGGCATGATATGGTTCAAGGAACAATTATAACCAGTTACTGTTTGCAAGGGCAACTTTTACTGGCACATCTGTATTTTCTTCGTGAAAAACTACTTCATCATACTTTAGCTCCTATTGATTGGATGAGGGTTTGTAACTTGATTTCTATACAATTGTTTCCTTTAATTCATATCAATTAGTAGATAAAAAATAAAAAATAACAATTATAAAGAAAAAAGAAATAGGATGGAAAAATCAGTATTATTTTTGTTATTTCTTATATTACAGGAGATTAGCGAATTTAAAAAGTTATTGAAATATTTCAATAACGATTTAGGGCCAGCTGTATGCATTTACACAATTGTAAATTTATCATGGGCAGCCGCAGGTACAATTTGGTTATTCCGATATGATAACAGCGACATGCAAACTAATTCTGTCACATGGGTTGAAATAACAAACGTAGTTCTTTGGATTCTAATATCGATAGTCCCTTTTATCCAGGTACGTTTGTTTCTATATAAGGTTTACAGGCAGAAAAGATAATGAGCTCCTTTTTTTTGTTATTTATAGAAGAGTACTTTTAAAATTCAATACATTGTCAATCAGTTCCATACTGTTTCTTACGAAACAACATTATAAATTTGTCACTTATCTTTAAAAGACTTATTGTCATATATTATGTCTTTGAATTTGTCAGATTCTCTTTTTTTAATTATCAGATATTAATATACTTCTTCTCACCATCGAATGGCCTAAAAGTAAGAAAATTGATAAAAATTATTTTTCACATTATATTTTTCCTATGTACTCTTATGTGAAACAGAATCAGAATGAATAGTTTGATATTTGATAATTATGCATTTCAAATATTTTAAAGTTCAAAGTATAGAAAAGAAAGTTTTAACTGATACCCTATTATTTTTCAACAGGCAGCACGTTTAACAACTGCTTGTTCTATGATTCAAAGTATCGGACACGAAGTGCGCATTCGACCATTTGTTTATCAAAGTACACCTGGCGAAGATCTTGATACTATACTTCTATACACATCATCCTTGGAAATGTATGCACGACTCTTTAGGGTACCAATTACGGGTAGATACCTTTGTTTATTTCTTACCATAGGGAGTATCTTGATCCTTACACTAGGACAATGTCAGTTCTTCTAATCATTTCCTACACTTTGATAAATAGATTACAGATATTTATGTAAATTCATATTTTTATAAATATGAATTAAAAAAGGGATCATAGGTAGATAATAATAGTTTAATTTACTAAATATTATAACAAGTACTTTATTTTGGGTATTCCATATATTTTTATATATCATGCACATTCTATAAAGTGATATGCTTTCAAATTTCCTATAAATGTATAAAAATCAGTGGTCTACTGATAAATTCAATCATACAAAATATCCTTTTTGTATATTTTTCATTCTATACTTATAATTAATACTAACAGCTCTTAATTCAGAGTAATGTTTACATGTTTTGCAAAACAAGATTGTTTTATTCAATTCAATTTGCAAATTTACAATAATTTGTAATTAATTTGTATAATTTTAAAATGAGTTTATGATTTTCTATGTAATAATTTGTGTAGATGTGTAATTTTACAATAATTTTATTTGTAATAATATCCTATAGAGATGATTTCGGAGAGTTAAAACTTTAGTTTAATTCCTGAATAATTGAAGAATTCGCCTTATAGATCAAGAAATTTCTTTATTGGCCATCAATCGGATGACTTTAAATTTGCTTATAGCTTAAAAACCAGGAAAAGTATTTAGGTAAAACTAATCTTAATTAATTCCTTACGTCCTAAACTTTCATTCGAGCCCTTAAAAGTTAAAAAATTAGTAGTCGAAAAATTTGGATTTTTCATTCACCTGTCGTTTGAGTATATAATTAAATATTATATATATACATATATATATATATAGTTCTTTTCTACTTCACGCTTTTACGTTCTACAAGAATATCGAAAAATAAATACATGTATAATTCTATTTAAAAAAAATGGTAATGATCTTGAAATTTCGTAAAAAAAAAAAAGAAATGGCTACGAAGAAGAACTATTTTTACCGTTGCATGTGGCCTTTGAAATAATGTAACTTTGTTTTGAGAAGTCTTTTTATACAACATAACTAAAACAGATTATTTACATGATCTCATTTAACTGGACTAACCTGCACGTAATATCACTATACTATAAAAAAAATCAGTACTAATAAAAACAAACACATAACTTCTTTATCCTACATTTTCCTAACTAGTTTAGTTGTGAATTATAACATTATAAATAGTCATTCAAAGAAATTTTACTTTTTCATCATAGAAAACCGCTATTAATAATAAAAAATTAGAGTAAAAAAGAGACATTCATATTTAATTATCCTTCCTTCAACACTTGTATGATTTACGTATATAGTAAGGAACGCATACATATGTATGTATGAAAGAGAATGCAAGTTATATGATGCATGTTGTATATGTATATGCTATATTTTTAAGCATTTACAGAATATTTTCGATGAATTAGAAGTGAATTTTATTATTGGAAAAATAAATATTTTTGAATATGGCAAACTTACTATGGTGGTTATATGGGATGAATAAGTGGAATTAAAAGTAATAAAATTATATTTAATATCTGGCTTACTCAGAAATTAAGAATTCGAATAGCAAAACATACACATAACCTATCGTAGCGTAAAGTGATACGAAAGTTATAATCATGCCGGTTTTTCAAGAATCGTGTGCAGAGGTAATTTGCAATGTGTTTACAGCATAGTAGTATAAATATTTCAAATATGAAACTTTTTGTACAATTATCTTAAATGTGTTTCAGCAAATTCAAGCTCAAACGATCATTATAATTCATCCTGGATCCATGTATCTTAGGATGGGACGAGCATCTGACTTAAATCCTTGTACAATGCTAAATGCTGTTGCCAGAAAACGTTTAATTGGAGGGTTAGAATATGAAGACAGTTTGCTACCACCATCTGTACCACGAGTAAGTTCTTTTTACAAATAACACTTTTATAAAGATGTTTCATTTTTTATTGTTTTTAGTAGACAAAAGAGCTGATACAAGCAATGGAGGAATCTCGTCTACAAGTATCTCATACATTACAATCTTGTCTGCAATCCGATGGAAGAAGAAGATATGCCACGCCACCCCAACAAATAGCTGCTTTTAATCGCAGATCCAATCCAGAAATATCATCTCCATGTAGTGTCGAATGGATAAAAACAGATAAAGACATTGTAGTTGGAGATGATATATTATCGTTGAATCCAGATGATAATTTCAATATTCACTTTCCATATAGGAGAGGTGAACTTAACATTCATTCTCGTCCTGGTGGTAGCTTAAGATCTGTTATGGCTGATTTAAAAACGATTTGGGAATATGTTCTCACAGAAAAAATGGACATTCCTTTAAGAGATTTGAAACATTATCGTGCTGTTCTTATAATTCCAGATATTTATAACAGGCAATATTTAAAAGAATTAACAACGCTGATGCTCTGTGATATTGGATTTGGAGCATGTTTTTTATTACAAGTTGGTACTAATATTTTTTTTTATTCTTAGAGTATTCTATTGTTGGTGAATTAATATTTCACTACGTTTCAAAGGATCATGTGGCAGCTACATTTGGTGCAGGACTGGGATATGCATGTGTAGTTGATGTTGGAGATCAAAAAACATCAGTTTCTTGCGTAGAAGATGGAATCTCTCATAGAAATACTAGAGTACGAATGGATTATGGCGGAGGAGATATCACTCGGACATTCTACTGGCTACTTAAGAAATGCGCTTTCCCTTACAAAACATGCAATCCATCTAATAAGCTAGACGCGTTACTCTTGAGTCAATTAAAGAAAGATTTCTGTCACGTTGATTTGAATGTATGCGGATCTCAGGAAAAGACGTTTGTAGTTCGAAAACCGAAGCAACAAACCGAGAAATACACTCTACAAGTAGGCGATGAATGTTTGGTCGCACCTTTAAGTTTATTTCAACCTGAATTATTTAAAGTTACTGGAACACATAGCGTACATATACAAAAGAGGTCAATGGGAGATCCGGAAGACCCGCACGACGAAAATTACCTACGAGAAACGAGTGTATGTAGATTTACATAGAGAGGTGAGTGTGCTTATTTTTCTAGTATGAACATTAGTTTTGTTACTAACTGTTTAGAGAAGAGGTATGAAAGAAAATCTTGAGCAAACATCTGAAATGCAAGAAGAAGCAACTGCACCAACTGTAGCAGGGGAAGAAGAAGTGGTCGTAGATGCTGTAGATTCAGCACCGACCTTATCGAATCGCGATCTGGATGCTCCACGTGACTTTGTAGTAGGTCCCCAACAACTATTAGGATTAGATCATGCTGTACTTCAAAGTATCGATCGCTGTCGTATGTATATTCAGTTGACTCATCAAATGTGTAATATATATATTATATATAATAAACTTTAATTGCTGTTGCATTTTTGATAGCTACGGAAGATCTGAAAAGAAAAATGTACAGTTGTGTACTTGTTGTTGGTTCTGGTATGAAATTTCAAGGTATAGGTATGTGGCTACACAATCGGATTTCTCTTCAAATTCCCTACATGTATAGGGCTGGTATGTATATATATATATATATATATCTATGCCGTTTTGTCTTTAAATAAAAAAGATACTATATATTATATTTTGCATATAATGCAAAGAACAATTGGATATCATAACACAACCAAAGGAAATGGATCCTGGTATGACAGCATGGAAAGGAGCAGCAATTCTAAGTTGTTTAGAATCTGCTCAAGAATTATGGATTGGTCGACAAGAATGGGAACGAGCAGGTGTCAGAGTATTGAGAGAAAGAGCACCATTTATGTGGTAAAAATGCTTGAATAAAACATTTTTTTAAAATTAAAAAATTTTAATGTAAAATATTAAACTTAAATTTTGATTTGGCCACTTTTTTCAATTATGTATTACATATATCATTATCTACCATATAATATTATCACCTCCCTATCTTTAAGCACTTAAATTTAAGTAATTAAAAATAAAACCTTATTTTAAAAATATAGAATTTATAGTACATATTATATACCTATAACATATCCATTAATCTAACTTTAGTTTTATCATTTCTATGATACATAATAATGTCAGCTTCGAGCAGGAAGTTTACAAAATCCAGAGTTTCCGGTGTAACATCTACATACAGATCATTACCACCTCTTGTGTACGACGTTGTTAACTCCTGAAAATTTATGCCCATTTGTTCTACCTTTTGAATAATAAAAATTTTTGTATGACTTTAAATATTCTGTACTTACCCCTAAGAACTCTTTGAAATTCTGATTTTCTGGGAACAACTTTTCTACTACTGCATGCTAAGCATTTACACATATATAATTATAATAGATTCACTATAGATAAAACGTTAAATACGAAATTTATATATTTATATTTTTTTGTCATACCAAGTCTTTTTTTACAGTTCGAAATATACGTTTCGCCATAATATGTTCCGTATTATAGGTTGTATTGGCCGTCAGTTCGTTTGCACCTAAGTAGGCTTTTTTCATCTTTTCCAAACCCATTCTTTTGTTTTGCAAGCTGAAACAAATATATACGATTTTATAGAATGTCAAACCAAAATAATTACAAAGTGATACTCTATTATTTTACGAACTAAGATATATCGTTTTTAATATCCGAAAGTTGCGTCTTCATTTTTTCAAAAAGTTGGTGAGCATTTTGAACTTCCTTTTCGAGTTCTGTTAAGACTTCAACGTGCAAATCGGACGTATTAGGAATGGGATAATCTTTTGGTTCTTCTAAAATAATTTTATTAAATAAACTGTTACACAATTTGTGTTGCTTTTTTCTTACATCCTCTGGATTGCAAGTTTTATTCAAAGCGACTTGTTCGTAATTGTTCGAAATTACACTCATCGTGTCTTCTATTTCTTTTTGTCGCTCCACCTGAGTTTCTTTTAGGGCTTCGAAAGCATCTTGCAACGTATATTCCATTTTTTTCTCTTCTCTTTCAGACTTTATCGTGGAAACAAGACATTTAAAGTATCACGAAACTCTTCTGTGAAATGGCGGGAAACCAAATATGTATATACACCCGTTTTTCATTAAACGTTACGTTGCTCTTAAGTCCTAAGTCCGATGGAGACTAAATTGTGATTGGTATATCTTGAAACCATTCCTGTACATGCTTGGTACGTAAATATGTCTGACAACTCTGTTGTCTGCTAGGATTGAGGTTAAGTCGGTTATTTGGACAAAATGATGTGTAGCCGAATAAACTTTGTTTTGAAACATTTTTACAAACGACCGACTTGGAACTGTCGTTTGTGCTCAACAATTCCACAAACAAGTAAGTACAAACACGGAATTTTTATTCATTTTCTCGTTGTATCAGAATCTTTAGTCGAATAGAGGTTATATTGATAATAATGTATAGTTGAATAAATTTCACTGTAAGAAATTCTTGCGAACAATCGATCTAAAATTGTCGTTTACGCTTGGCAATTACACAAGTAAGTAGATAAATCGAAATTTTCATTTATCTTGTCAAGTCAAGTACAAGTTATATTTTTAGCTTTATTGTCTTATCTCTATAGCTATCGAATGAAATTATTAATATATAATTTACAGCAGATGAAAGGGATCCTGCTCCGTTTTTCTTTGATAGACATGTACAGGAATTATTGACGACCTTGACTCGTGTCAATTATGAAAAGGTTTTTGCAATACGCAGAGATGGAACGCCGTTGGAGGTTCCACAGTATAGTTTTATGACAGATGAAGAGTTACAAAAGGCACGAGCTCAAATAGGAGCAAAAGCAAAAAGACGCATTCAGATGCCACCTGTTGTGAAAATCAAATCAGACGAGGTTGAAGTACTGGTCAAAGAACCTGAATTACAGGGTTGCGAGCAACATAATCTTGTGTTTACAGATATATCTTTTGGAAAAAACAATAGAAGCAGATTAATTGTGATACGAGAGCCAAACGGTACATTGAGACAAGCAACTTGCAACGAGAGGCACAGAATGAATCAAATATACTTTCCTATAAATGGTAGAGAGATACACACTCCACAAATGTTCTTCCATCCATACTTGAGTGTAAGAAATGTTTCAATATTCCTTTCTCTTATAAAAAAAATACTTTTTAACGATTTCTTTTATCAGAGACTTAAATATTCATTAAATCATATATAATCGTTGCTTGAGATCTGGTTCTGCCGCCGTCTCACTGTTATTATTTATAATTTACTTTGTATCTCATGTACATATATATATATATTTTCATTTAATGTGTAATATATTTATAGGATCTATTGGACAGAGGAGAATTCGAATTCATCCTAGATAGGGCGTGTGTGCAGTTTGAACCTGATGATCCAGAATACCACAGGGTTACGAAAGAAGTGTACTCCTATGTGTATAAATTAAATAAACTCGATGCTCTGCGATCTACGAGGCATTTTGGTCCGTTGGTGTTTCAACTTGCCTGGGAGAATAATATCGATAAGTTGTTGTTGGAACTGATCGACACTGAAAACATAGAAGAGGCAGGCGCACTGGTACGGTTGTATCACGCGCTTCACCCTGATGTTAAGTCGGCTCAGGAAACGATACACGAGGACATGGAATTAATCAAAGTTTACGCCGAATTGGATTCTCCAGAGCGATACGCGATATCAAACGCTATACAGAGGTACAATAAAATGCAAAAGGAGAAAAAGAAGATGGAGAAGGGTATAATGAAAGCACACGGGCTGATCGACGACGAGGACGTGTAACCGAGAACGTGAACGATCGTTGGAGTTCGTCGTTAGGTCAGCCAACCGCTTTGTTGCTTTTTATTTTATATACAAATACTTTGCATTTGCGACTAAATAAAACCGGTATACAATCAGAATAACAGAATTTCGATGATTATTAATCGATTATTTTATTACGTGATAGTTACTTACAAACATTTACAAATGTAACAAGTCAATTCGATTTGGCGTACAGGATCGTCGGAAAACATTACATATCGATTATTGGCTAACATTCTGGAAATAACTGAATCGATTTCGGGTCCCGCTTTTGCGTCTCGCGGTCGAAAGGTGTGGCACCGATATTTCACACCTCTCGAGGGAGAAATTATTGCCTGGGGATGGGTTGGGCCATGGATAATAGACCATGAGCTACGGGTTGGTTCTGGAGGATGAGATGTGACTCGGTTACGTAAAATAGGAAACGCATACTTTCGTGAGTAGATAAACGGAGGAACGAAGGAAGGATGGTAGGACAGGGAAGGGATCGAATCGGCAGAAAACGAAGAAGTGCGCGTTGAGAGAAAGCAGCTTTGTACAAATGCAAATTATGCGACTGGAGGCTGCTGCATGTAAGTACCTACTTGTCGTGAATGGAACAATATACAAGTCCGACTGTGAAGATCGAACGAGAAGTGCTTGTTCGTTGGGATCGTGTACCGTCTTGATCGTTTAATGATTTGATAAACACTCGCAACTGAATACTGTGATCGATCGTTATTATCCATATTCTTATTCATATTACTTCTTATCGTTATATGTATATTAATTATTACTTCCATATAGATGCGTTTCATGGTGTACGTAGAAAATAAATAATAGCCACGATTACGATCGGCGTAGTAGACGAAATCTTTACTAATCGACTATCGAAGAATGACGACGCGACGAAAGAAAGGGAAAACCGCGGCAAGCAATAATTCCAGTTGAATAGGAAAACGAACGGAAAGGAAGAAGCGCGGAATCAAACCTATCGGCTATTAGGCCTCTCGAAGCAAAGTATGCGCATATCGATTATATAAATGTGTATCTCTGATTTCTGTCGAGCACTGGGAAGCACGGTTACCTTATTCCTTTTAGTTCATCGCTAGTCCGACATCTCTCTACGACCTCGATAACAAAAGCAGCGGGTATTCTTCTTCGCTGTCAACGTTACTACCGAATCTTACATCATATCATCGTTCTCTACTCTCATTCTTCTTTCTCTCGCGCTTCCTACGTTCTTTTTAATAGGGATACCGCGAATTTCACTAACAGATCACGCGGCCTCTTAAAGGCTGACAGAAATTTGGGATTGGCGCGTGACAACTGCGATATGCTCTATCAACGAACTCTAACGTGATTCAAGCGAATCAATTTAATCAGCTAATCGAATTAGGAATGAACGTTTGGCGTGGAATAGCGCGGCGAATCGTTCCAAGAACGCGCTAATTAGATGTAGGTTTGGGGTTAGGTTCGATCGGTCGAAGATACGGCAAATTCGTGAAACCAGCAAACGATCGAACGAGTCGGTCATCACATGATACATCGAATGATAATTTACATGCCGATCTCACGAGATTTCGCAGAAATTTTTCACGAAACGAACCATGCTTTGGAACGAATCGACAAGCAGTTTGACAACGCCGTGTAAACACTCGCTGCATTTTTCGATCGGTAAATATTGAGCAATGTTCCTTTCGATCTTGCCATTGTCCGTCGAAAAATCGATCTTCTTCGGAATTTCCATTATTGGAGAATCGATTCCAATATATTGGAATTATTATGCCAATATAATGGAAATAAAGCATTAACCGAAACGCGTTTACCGCGACACGAGATAAGGTCGCACTCTACCCTCGCGTTTTCCATCGAGGTTACATCTTTTTTTCTTTTTCCGATCAAAGCTACTTAGAAACATACGAAGAATCTTTCACACACCGTGACTTACAAGTAAATATAAGGAGAGATATAGCTTCGTTCAGCGCGGTCGTTAGCACTTTGTGCGAGTTCGTACATAGCCGGTTCTTAGACAGGAATAAACGTTCCCATTAAACGTTCTCTGCCAAGGATATCTGACGTGACACGACAGTGTATTACGACGCTGTTCTGCTGCTTCTCTATCAATCTAACTCTATTCGCTTAAATATTCGTTTATATAGAAATTCTCATCTTACTCCTGTGCTTTGTGTATATAAATTTATCGTTTCTCTTTCGTAGATATAGTTAGATATACTCATAGGTATGCACGATAGACCACGATCATAGCGACAGTCGGTTTTATTCGCTCGAAGTTAGCAGAGCTTGGCTCGAGGAGAAAACGCGAGTAAAGGGGCGTGTCGTTTTATCGGTTGTTCATCGGCTTTCGCTCTCCATTTTGGCACAATCGTCGCTACAGCTTGACGTATGCTCGACGATACAATCATTGTATCCTGCCTAAACCAGGAACTGGATCTTCCAATTGCCTAACTTTTTTTTATTCCTAAACGATCGTGAGGGGATCACTCCCAGCCTCTTTCGCCTCCCTATTATTATGCGTCCGGATTATGCGTTCCGAAAGAGAGAGATTGCGCTTTTCGTTTACGATTAGTAATACTATATATCGTTATTAATTATGATAATCGATATTATAAATTACGCGTGACTCGCTAAGTTCTCTACGCTGTTTTCTCTACTTTCCAGCCGGCGAGGTCGCCTCGTCGCGATCTAATCTTCCCACAAAAATCGCCCTTTCGTTCCCCAGTTTTTATCCTTCGCTTGCTTAAAACGCGGTTAACTCGCGAGCACGACTTCGGCGGCAGCCACGTTTACGCTCGCCTCGAGCAACGAACGGCTTCTCGGTCACAGAATATCCGTTTCGTAGATCTTGCTAGTAGTAGTGGTAGCCGTCGTACTCGCAGTGCTGCACGTCGTTGACGCTACGGCGGAAACGCTCGCTGCCGACGTGTTACAAGCAACGATCGCTGTCTGACTGCCGTTAGATTCGCCGGAGCTGGTCGTTGCGATTACGTTGGACGCGACGTTGCAATTGGCCATCCTCTGCTGATCGTTCGACTCTTCTTGTCGCGCATGAACGCCATCCACAGAGACTACCTCCTGAGTAACAGAGGGCTGTTTAGCAGCAGTTAGACTAGTTAAGGATCCAGAGCTGGCAGTGCTCAGTCCCAAGCCCATCTTAGCCAACAAATTACTCTCGGATCCTGTCTTCTTCAAAAGATCCGGTGGCGCAGGCGGAATTGTAGTCAGACCCGCCGTGTTCCTCTGTAACTGTTGCAGTCTTGCGTATTGTTCCTGCAGAGCCTTCTGTTTACGCAACAGCTCCTGATGCCGTTGCTCCAGCTGCTCCTGTCTACCCTTCTTGCTCTGCAGACCTTCCTGCGAGTTGACGCTCTCGCAGGAACTAGAATTGCTGGTGGATAGCACGGCTGACGACTGAGAGCTCGTTGAGTTGTTATGAAGCACTGGACTGGGTGCTGTGCTCTCTAGCGTAGCCACAGGCTGTTCTGTTGGTAGAGCCATGGGAGGCTTGCCCTCTTTAACAGGAAGGGTACCGCGTGCCGGTGGCCTTCGGAGCGTGGCGTTGGCGCTCTGTAAATTATAAGAATGGTTTCTAGGTGGTAGCTGAGGGCTGGTGGGACTAGCCAAGGGAGACCTGGAGCTGGTGCGCGGCGGTGGAGGCGGTGGCACCCTTCTGGCGCTAGCCAGCTGAAGTAGCTCCGCGTTTCTCTCAGGCACCGGTGGCTTTTGTCCGGGAACGAATCCTTGCGGCAGAGTGGGCAGACTCGGCTGCTCCTGCAGGGACACCTGAAGTCTCGCTATGGGGGGCGACGTGTCTGTGTCTGAACTAGACGGATAAGAGTGCAATCTGCGAAGCGTTCCTCCGGCGTTTGGTGGCCCTGCCG